CCTTGGTGGCACTATAATAGAACAAAACATGAAATTCCCATTGACTTCAATACAGTTTTGTGACGTAAAATACTAAACTTAACAAATGCATTGCTGTAACATTATAAAACTCAGAATTTCCAGACACACTATCCCCTGAAGGTACTCAAAAGATTTAGAGACAGCGCCACCTGTTGGTCAAAATGTATAATTAATTTCCAAAAATGCTAATAACCTTTCGAAAAAAAATGCCTATTGTAATGACACTGGTCTTAATTGATTCCTTGGGTCATGCCGAGAACATAGATACCAAGTTTGATGTATTTGGAAGAACTTCCTGTCTGCCATCTTTATTTACTTTCCAAACCTTCTTTTCAAACTTCTCCTAGACCATTTGTTCGATTTTCACCAAAATCGTATCATATCATCTCCAGATCGTGCTGACTAAATGTTATGGATTTTGTAATAATAGACAAAACCATTTTTGTATATACCACAGCATGCTGCCAAAATTACTGTTTAGGCTTCATCTCTGCAATGCCTTGATATTTGGACGCCAAACTTTGTATGTGTCATTGTCTAACACAGTCTCATCCCAAAAAGTCATATAACTGACGTTTTGGGACGTATTTTGACCATACGTCAATATCAGCCTTTTTAGGCCCCCCTTAAACGTCGGTAGATGGCGATCCCGGGCCGTCATACAACTGACGCTTTACCTTTAACGTCAGTTAGGTGATGGGTTAGGTTTAGGGTTAGGTTTAGGTATGGGGTAGAGTTAGGATCCCATAACCTCATCTACCGACGTTTAAGGGGCCCTAAAAAGGCGAATATTGACGTATGTGTTGTGTTCACATAATTACTAAAATCATTTATTTACCTACTGCTAGGAAAATAACAAGAGGACTACTATTATGAAGTAATCTAGCTGTGTTGGTGATAGAATGAGCTGCGCGATGTTGAGTGTGCGCATGCGAGGATGTGAAAAAAAGGAAGTTCAGTAAAAGCATGTAATACGACTTCTGTGTGTCTCGGCTTTTTTGCAAACACAATATTGGCGACGAGGATGGCTGAATTTGGTTTACCCCCACCTGCACACTTTCTTGCCGTCCCCGGTGACCCTCCAGTTCCATGGGCAAACTGGCTGGAGAGTTTCACAGTCTACCTGGACGCGTTAGGCTTTGATGACATTACCGACAAGAGGAAAATGGCGCTCCTCCGTCATTGTCTGGGAGTGGAGGGGCAACGCATCTTTCGCAATCTTGGGACGCCCAACGACTATGATGCTGCAGTTACCCTTTTGACGACTCATTTCACGGGCCACCAAAGGACTTTACTCCGTCGCTATAAACTTCGGAAGCGCCTGCAACGACCCGGTGAGTCTGTTCGAAGCTACGTGACAAACTTGAAAGACATGGCGCGTTTGTGTGATTACGGGGTTTTGCAAGATCAAATACTTCGGGACCAGTTCATTGAGGGGACATCGTGTGAGAAAACAAGAGAAAAGCTGTTACTAGAAGCGGACGATTTGACTTTAAGCAGAGCTGTGGATATAGCGCTACAGATAGAGACAGCCATGGAATGCACGTCTCAGCTGGCAGGCGCGCGGCCACTCGCGGACGGAGCTACTGAGCAACTGCAGCCTGCCTACCACACCAGCATGCACTCGGCCAATGACAGTCGGGGTTCAGAGCAAGGTTTCCCAGTACAATTCACACAGAGACAGAACAACAGGCGAACTGCACAGGTATGTGGTAACTGTGGTTTTAAATCACACAATTCTAAGGCGGAGCATTGTCCTGCCAAAGGACAACAATGTAGAAACTGTCTGAAGCAAAACCATTTTGCCAAGATGTGCCGTTCAGCCCCGGCCACGCTCCCACAACACACTGGACCTCCACCAGCTCAGCACAGCTATACAGAGATCAGGAATGTGACTGCTGGTCAGGTGGCGTTCAAAACATGTACTGTCCAGTTAGCTGAAGTGACCTTACCCTTATTAATGGACACTGGCGCGGCTGCATCGCTCCTAAATTCAAGCACTTACTTTAAGTTTTTCTCTCACCTGCCATTAGACCATCCTGCCACTGCTCTATGTGGCTATGACAGCTCCAGGATTGACATCCTAGGTGTGCTCCACGTGCCAGTCCACTATGGCTCCAAGCACCTACCATCTTTTCCCTTTCATATTGCGAGGAGGGGAGCCAACCTTCTAGGCCTGGACCTGTTCACAGGCCTGGGGTTCACGCTCCGGGACGATGCTGGCTCCGACATCCACCACATCACCTCCACTTGGCAGCAAAGGTGGCCGGCTCTGTTCGATGGCCTAGGCTGTCTTTCAGCCTTCACACACAGGCCTCTCGTGAACCCGGAAGTGCCACCTGTCATCCAGCCCCTGCGCAGGATTCCCTTTGCCTTGAGAGACGAGGTCACCCGCGAACTTGGGACACTCCTGGACATGGGAATTATTGAACCAGTCAACGCTGCTCCCTGGATTTCAAACCTAGTCATTGCAAAGAAAAAATCTGGAGGAATAAGAATATGTGTGGATTTACGCTTGGTGAATAAGGCAGTTATTCCGGACAGATATCCTTTGCCCACCTCAGAGGAGCTCACAGCACAGTTTTATGGCTCAACAGTCTTCACAAAGCTTGACTTACGTCAGGGCTACCTGCAGGTACCACTCCACCCAGCCAGCAGGGACCTCACTGCTTTCGTGACGCATGCTGGGGTGTTCCGGTACACTCGAATGGCCTTTGGATTAAGCTCCGCCCCTAGCTGCTTTCAGAAGGTGATGAGCACAATACTGGCCGGCATCCCTGGAGTAGCGGTCTTTCTGGATGACATTGTTATTCATGCCCAAGACATCGAGACACACAACAAGCACCTCCAGAGGGTGGCTCAAGCCCTTCTTCAGAACAACCTGACTCTGAACCCAGAAAAATGCTGTTTCGCTGCCCCAGCCATCGACTTTGTTGGGTTCCGCTTGTCAGCCAAAGGAATTTCCCCTTTACAGTCCAACATCGATGCCATACACAGGATTCCAGAGCCAACCTCAGCCTCTCAAGTGGCCTCATTCTTAGGCATGACGGCCTACTACCTCCGTTTTCTGCCTCACTACTCACAGACCACTGCACCCCTCCGCCAGCTGCTTAAAAAAGAAGAGCAATGGCACTGGACTACAGCATGTTCTGAGGCCGTACAAACACTGAAGGCCCAGCTCACAACACCTCCTGTACTAGCCCACTTCAACCCTGAATGTCTGACTCTAGTCACCTGCGATGCTTCAGATCGGGCTGTTGGTGCAGTCCTTTCACAGGTGCAGGATGGGGTGGAGAGACCTGTAGCCTTCGCCTCCAGGGCACTAACACCAACAGAACAACGCTACTCTGTGGGTGAACGTGAGGCGCTTGCCTGCGTTTGGGCTTCGGAGAGGTGGCATCTTTACCTCTACGGAAGACGTTTCACCCTCAGGACTGACCATCAGGCCCTGACTACATTGCTGACGGCATCTGGATCCGGTCATAAACCTCTGCGCCTGCACAGATGGGGGGAAAGGCTGAGGCAATATGACTATGTACTGAAATTTACCCCTGGAAGGCTCAATGTTGTCGCCGACTTACTCTCTCGTTCCATTGATGCTCCCACACCCACGGTCGCCCCTGACGAGGACACAGAGAACGAACTAATTCATATGCTTCACACGCCCTTGCAGTCAGCCGTATCATTGGAGGAGTTGCGGCATGAGTCAGAGTGTGACCCCACACTGTCCTCGCTACGCACATACATTCGCTCTGGATGGCCAGCAAGGGTTTGTGACGAGCTCATGCCATTTAAAAGGGTGCGTGATGAACTGTCATGTTGGGGTGATGTCTGTGTCTCCAGGGGCTTGTGCACCGTGGTGCCCGGTAGCCTGCGGGCCCGCGTGCTATCCATGGCACACGAGGGGCACTTAGGCATTGTTAAACTCAAACAGCGATGCCGAGATCTCATCTGGTGGCCAGGCATCGATCGCGATATTGAAGCCCTCGTTAAAGATTGTGTGCCATGCCTCCTTAGTGGGAAAAGTGGGCCTCCAGTGCCAACCCCTCTGCAGCCGGTCCCATGGCCGTCCCGCCCATGGGAACATCTCCAGCTTGACATCTGTGGAGAGATCCATGGGCGTGGAATTCCCCATCATCAGCGTTTTCTTGTGGTGCTGTACGACCTCCATTCAAAATGGCCTGAGGTGGTTCCGGCTGGAACAATCACAACTCAGGTAATCACAGACATTCTAGAAGTCTTGTTCGCGCGTTGGGGCATGCCTCGCGCCATCACAACAGATAATGGACCTCAGTTCATCTCTGCAGACTTTTCTCAGTTCCTCAGTGATAGGGGAATCAAACACATTCGCACAGCATACTACAATCCACAAGCAAATGGTGGTGTGGAGAGGTTCAACCAGAGCCTAAAGAATGGCGTCCGGGCCCACCTGGCTCAGGGGTGTACATTTCGAACAGCACTCAACCAAACCTTAATGCACTACAGGGCCAGCCAACACACTACAACTGGGGCCTCTCCAGCACTCCTCATGCTGGGCCGGGAGATGGAACTGCCTCTGGATAGACTTAAGGCACACGGCATGGCAGCGCCCACAGCTGGCAGCTCTCAGGCCCAGACCAAGGCGGCTGTAAACAGACACCAGCAACGGATGCGACAGTATTTCGACCGGAAACACAGGGTCAAGGCCACGGCTATTACCGCAGGTGACTGGGTTCGAGCACGTAGGCCGCATCGGAGCAACAAGATGGCCTCATACTGGAGCCAGCCCTGTCAGGTGCACCGTCAGCTGGGCCCAGCTACATTCATGCTTAGTGACGGTTCACGATGGCATGCTAAAAGACTGAGGAAAGTGCGGAACCCAGATGAGGAAATGGTGGCTCCACTGCCATCGGCCCCTTCCCCACCGGTGCCGATATGTACAGGGCCACAGCAGGCTTCCCATACTCCTCTGGCCGCACCGTCACCAGCGCCCTAGCAACATGCCCCTGACCTGCAACCTCACCTGTTTTCCCCTGGCCGTCAGTCAGACCCAGGGCCGGGCTCTGCCACAGGTCCAGCTATGGGGAACTGCCCAGCAGTTCTTACACGGCTGCAGCCTGAGGTTGAGGAGGGCCGACCCGTAAGGGCCAGGGTCCGCCCTGCTTACTTAAAGGACTTTGTCACAGAGTGACAGTGTTGGCCTTGCACTGTATTGGACTGTTCTATTGTTTTGGCAAGGACTCAGTTATGCATATGTTTTGTTCTTGGGAGGGAGGGGGAAATGTTGTGTTCACATAATTACTAAAATCATTTATTTACCTACTGCTAGGAAAATAACAAGAGGACTACTATTATGAAGTAATCTAGCTGTGTTGGTGATAGAATGAGCTGCGCGATGTTGAGTGTGCGCATGCGAGGATGTGAAAAAAAGGAAGTTCAGTAAAAGCATGTAATACGACTTCTGTGTGTCTCGGCTTTTTTGCAAACACAATAGTATGGTCAAAAGACGTCCCAAAATGTCAGTTATATGACGTCTTGGGGTGAGACCGGGTTGCATTGTCACCTCACTCTTACCACATCAGATCAATTTCGTAACTGTGACACCTATTTGTCGAAAGTGATAAATCATTAAATCATCTTAAAAGTTTTTTTTTTAGCCATTTGCCCAAAGTTCTCTTGAAATGCTTTTACTTTGTCCTTGCTGCAGTTGGTCTGCCACTCCTAGCCATTTTGGCATTCGTTGCCGCTTCTTGCACTTGGCCCAGGTATTGCTGCTTGCAGCTCTATTTTGATTTGATATTATTATCTGAAAATAAAAATTAATTTCTATAATTTCAGACCTGATGGAAGTGGAGGAGGAGAGAGAAGAACTGAGTGAAGTGAAGGAGGAGAGAGAAGAACTGAGTGAAGTGAAGGAGGAGAGAGAAGAACTGAGTGAAGTGGAGGAGGAGAGAGAAGAACTGAGTGAAGTGAAGGAGGAGAGAGAAGAACCGACTGAAGTGAAGGAGGAGAGAGAAGAACTGAGTGAAGTGGAGGAGGAGAGAGAAGAACTGACTGAAGTGAAAGAGGAGACTGAAGAACTGAGTGAAGTGAAGGAGGAGAGAGAAGAACTGACTGAAGTGAAGGAGGAGAGAGAAGAATTGAGTGAAGTGGATGAGAGAGAAGAACTGACTGAAGTGAAAAAGGAGAGTGAAGAACTGAGTGAAGTGAAGGAGGAGAGAGAAGAACTGAGTGAAGTGGAGGAGGAGAGAGAAGAACTGAGTGAAGTGGAGGAGGAGAGAGAAGAACTGACTGAAGTGAAAGAGGAGACTGAAGAACTGAGTGAAGTGAAGGAGGAGAGAGAAGAACTGAGTAAAGTGAAAAAGGAGAGTGAAGAACTGAGTGAAGTGAAGGAGGAGAAACATCATGTCAAACCTGGAGAAAAACCCTTGAGTCGCTCAAAGACAAAAAATACATTTTTAAAGAAAAAACAAGCCAAGAAATCTTTCGGCAAATGCACTCAGTGTGGGAAGAGTTTCACAACCAAACAACATATGGATGTTCACATGATGATCCACTCTGGAGAAAAGCCTCACGCATGCGATCAGTGCGGGAAGAGTCTCCCAACCAAACGAAGTCTTGAGCGTCACATGATTATCCACACTGGAGAAAAGCCGCACACATGCGATCAGTGCGGGAAGAGTTTCAGATATTCATTAGAACTTAAGAGTCACATGAGAGTTCATACCGGGGCGACGACGTTCATATGTAATGAGTGCGGCAAAACATTTCTTAGGGCATCAGAGCTGAAGATGCACCTGGCAGTGCATGTAAAGGAGAAGCCACATTCATGTTCTGTATGTGGAAAGAGTTTTTCACTGCTGCAATATTTACATGCACATCAGAAAATGCATACTGCTGTGAGAGAGTATGTATGCTTTGAGTGTGAGCAGTCTTTTACTACAGCAAACAGATTAAAAAAACACCTGACAATTCACACTGGAAAACAACCTTACAAGTGTTCACACTGTGACAAGATATTCAGTCGGCCATCAAGTTTGAAAACACATGAGATGATCCACACTGGAAAACAACCTTACAAGTGTTCACACTGTGACAAGAGATTCTGTCGGCCATCAAGTCTGAAAACTCATGAGATGATCCACACTGGAGAAAAACCTTACAAATGTTCACACTGTGACAAGAGATTCAATCAGTCATCAAATCTGAAAGCACATGAGATGATCCACACTGGAGAAAAACCTTACAAGTGTTCACACTGCGACAAGAGATTCAGTAACTCATCACATCTGAAAGAACACGAGAGGATCCACACTGGAGAAAAACCTTACAAGTGTTCACACTGCGACAAGAGATTCAATCAGTCATCAGCTCTGAAAATTCATGAGACAATTCACTTCGGAAGGAAACCGCACACGTGTGATCTGTGTGGAAAGTGTTTCAGACTCAAATCAGGTCTTAAGGATCACAAGAGAATTCACATGGTAAAGAAACCGCACACGTTTGATTAGTACAGAGCTAGTTTCTCTATTAAAGCTCACCTGAATGATTTAGTTGCTTAGTTGGGGACAATGAATATTCAACAATATTATTGATCTGCCTTACTTAAGGTGGACGTTGACACAATTTTCTTCCAGAAACAAACTTTGTTGTATTAATTTCATGTTTTCACTGTGAAGCTGCTTTGATACAATCTGTATTGTAAAAACCGCTATATAAATAAATGTGACAATTTTATCGGTAACACTTTATTTTGATAGTCCACTTTAGACATTCAACTAACTATAAGTAACTTTGCCGCTACATGTCAATTAACTATCATTAGAGTATTAGTAGACTGTCAGCTTAATATCTGCTAACACTTTATTTTGTTGGTCCCCCAACAGACATTCAACTGACTATAAGTAACTTAGCAACTACAAGTCAACTTGTTCTCCTAACCTGAACCCTAACACCTAACCCTAACCTAACAGTCTACTGACAGTCTACTACAGCCTACTAATACTCTAATGACACTTAGTTGACATGTAGTTGAAAAGTTACTTATAGTTAGTAGAATGTCTAAAGTGACTATCGAAATTAAGTGTGACCCTTTTATCTTTGGTAAAGTTAGTTAAGTCAAATACAGTTTTGTTAATTGTTTGTTAATACACAGTTTTGATATGGAGTATTTCAGTATTTTACTGTCCTCTAGTAGCCTGGAAATCTAGACTCCCCTAGAGGCAGCAAAATGTATTTTCCAGCCAGTCTAACAACTCTTCGTTGACTTTCGAGATGGAAAAACCAAACTCTAGTCAGGCCAATCCAGCCCGTTCTCATCCTTTAGCGTCACATAGAACGCTATATGACAAAACGGCGCTATACTACGCACATGGCACCCTTTATCGTTAATATTCACGCGAACCTAAGGCGTCAAAAATCCTTTAGCATAATATGAGAATACCCTACCCTACCCCACACCTAAACCTAACCATCACAGCGCGTGTTATATTAACGATAATGGGTGCCATGTGCGTAGTATAGCGCCGTTTTGTCATATAGCGTTCTATATGACGCTAAAGGATGAGAATGCGTTGGCCAATCACATCGTGGCCACCAACAAAACTAAGCACAGACTGTTTTTGCTCCGGCTTTAACTTTTTGATATTCGGCAGCGTTGCTACAACGGACCGAATGGCTTTACTAGCATCTTTCTCCACTGCCATTTGCGAACTACAACTCAAAATAACGCAAAACATCAACGTCATTGTTCTCAGCCACTCCCTCTGTTCACTTGGCAAAAAATTGAACCGACTACAATAAGTGATAACCAAAGACTACAGCACAATCCCAGACGTCGTACTGAAGGAAAATAAAAATTGAGTGGAAGTACATAGGAGGGCGCAGCCAGGCCAGAATAGACCACAGAGAACCCTTCTGTCCAATTGTATGAACACTATGTTAAATGCTATTAATTTAGGTCAGATTTGACTTTACTTGCCTGAGAATAATATAAATAGGTTAAGGATTGTGTGAACAATCCCTTTAAGATTCATATGAGACTTCATACTAGAGAGAGACTGTTCACATGTGATCAGTGTGGGAAAGGTTTCATGGAGTCGTCAACCCTTGACTTTCACACGAGAATCCACACTGGATAGAAACCATTCATGTGGAAACCATTCAAACCATACAAAATCACAATATTGAAATATGATTTAAATTAAAGCAAAAAAAAAATAAAAAATCACTAAATGACATGCAAAACGTAAAAAAATACTTTCTTGTAATGAATTTAGTTATCATAAAATCAAACTTTATCAAGTTTTCCTATTGAGCAGTTTTATAGGCTTGTATCATCTATCCTGACTCAAATAATGTGTTTCTAACAGCAAACACTCAGAATAAAGTGAGATGATCTGCTGATGATCCTGAATGGCTTGTTGAATGAGTGTTGATAGTCTGAGGATCATCAATATTAACAGATCTGCTGAAAACACTCTGTATTTCATGACAGTAGTTCCTGTTTTCACCTTATTTATTATGCTGATGTCTTCAGATCTTCTGTAAATTGACACTTAACAAGTGACTTGTTCAAGTTCAACTTTAAATGATTTGTATATGAAAATTGTGTTTTCTACAAGTACCATACACCATTCCATACGTGTCATGTACAACTCATATAAGACTTTTACAGTATTCATATATGACACAAAAATCCCCTATAAGTTTCATGTGTGCTATTTAGTATGAAAGGGGCCATAATCGGTCTGATTTTGTATAGGACATGTATTGGTCTTACATGAAACACATAAGGTAATTCTGGCCAATTTAAGTAAGAAGATATATGGTTGCTGTATATGAACCATGCTGCTTTTTTTCATATGGGCTTCCACAGCTTGCCCCAATGTGGATTCTGGGTGCAAGCCCATAATGGGGCCCACATTTGCCGTACATCTATATGGGCCCCACATGTCATTGCTGGCTGGGCCCTTTTGATTTCTCAGAAAGGTTAAGTGTTTTATTTATAACAGACATCCATTACACAATAGGTTGTTTAGACTAACTTTACTTTCATTTTCCCTTTTTGTTTTCCTGTAAAATATCCAGTTCAAGTCAAAGCTTGCCACAGTGTGTGTGTGTTATGTGCAATGTCTAAGGTGCATTAAAATAGGGAGTAAAGTGCGAGAGTGTCTCAAATTGCGACAGAGATGCTGTCCCATTGAAATCACTTCTCGCCTGTCTTGCCTGCCTTGGTATTTGTGAGGTGTTTCCATATATACATACTTATTCCCCCCCCCCCCCCCCCCCATTCTATGTTGTGGTGCATTAAAAACCCATGAAGAGATAAGGGGGAAGTTATTGCATTAGTGATGACAATGACACTTAATTCTAATACAGCATTGACAATGGCAATATTGATGATAATAAAAAAAAATAATAATAATAATATTAATAATAAATGACAATGATGATGGCAGTGGTGATCACAACGGTGAGAGCAAAAGACAGCAACATCAGCAATTACAACAATGAAACAACAATAAATAAATAAATAAATAAAGTGAAAATAGCAATCATAACAGTAACAGTAAAGATAGTAATAACAATGATGACAGAGACAAGTTCAAACAACTAAAATGTATATTCGTGGGTTGATTAAGAAGATGGGAGGAGTCGGAGTTAAGAACAAGGAAAGGATTCATAGCTGTAAGAGGTCAGAAAGTGTTGGACGGTAGAGGTCAGTTTCAGCTGTGTAATTATGAAGGGGAGATGCGAGTTCCATTGCAATGAAGCAATGAAGATTTTTCCGAATGTTAATGTGTAATTTATTTCTGGTTTTCCAGTTCATGAGGATAGTTTTCTTGGCGATGGTTAGAGCTATGAGGAGTATTTTAGAGTTTTATCAGTGATTATTGTGAGGTCCCCCAGCAAGCAAAGGGAAGGCGACAGTGCCAGGTTGCATGGATGTATGTATCTGTAGATATTTTGATTGTAATGTGTGCAAACTTCTGATGTGAAACCCATTTTAGCTAATCTATTGCCCGTGTAATGAGTTCTGTGAAGTATTTTGTATTGTATTAACTGAAGATTCGCATTTTTGGACATGAGATAGATATTTTAACAGATTTGGGTCCAGAAGTTGGCATCAGGGGCTATTGAAAGATCGTTTTCCCATTTTATTGTTGGTAAGTATATGGAAATATTTTACTAACGTAGCACCACTATATTGTTGAAAACGAAAGTAAAAGCATGACGCACGCTCACTGTTTTACCGGGAAATGATGAGAGCAGTCTCTTTTAAAATCATTCAAACATAGCCTATTTTATTAAAACATATTAATGCATCTCTAAATGGAATAATATTTTGTTAGATCCATCACTAACGTGCAGATGTGAATTTATAGCTTTTTTTTTCTTTTCATCCTAAATGATGATGTAAACAACAGGCTGTTTAGCTTCGTCACTTCACTTGTTTCTGTGATCTGATTGCTATCCGATCGTGAAAAGACCTGGGGCCTCATGTACAAAGACTTGCGTTGAATTCATACTAAAACATAGCGTACGATCAAAGCTGTAAATGTGCGTACGCACAAAAAAAAACAGATGTATGAATGTCTGCGTACGAAGGATCCCACGCATATTCTCTTTGTACATCCCAATTAACGTAAAATTGAGCGCACATGCACGAGCACAACGCCCCACCCAGTCTCCTCCCTCAATTAAATTAATTTAAATATGGTAATAGTCCAATTTGGCAAAAGAAACCTGCAAGGAAATGGCTAAAGAAACCTGCAAGAAATGAAATTCCACTGAAAATGTTTTCTCTGTGAATATATGTGAAAGTGTAATTTATTCCTGTGATCAAAGCTGAATTTTCAGCATCATTACTCGTCTTCAGTGTCACGTGATCCTTCGGAAATCACTCTAATATGATGATTTGATGATCAAGAAACATTTATGATTATTATCAGTGTTGAAAACAGCTGTGCTTCTGCTTCATATTTTCATGGAAACCGTGATGTAGTATTTTCAGGATTCTTTAATGAATAAAAACTTAAATCAAACACATATAGAAATCTTATAATCGTTTTTAACATTATAAATGCATGTACGGGCACTTTTAAACAAATTCAATATGTCCTGGCTGAATAAAAATATTACTTTTTTTTTTTTTACCTTTACTGGCCGAAATAATGAAGTTTATTTTTTATTTCCTATAGTAAAGCCAACGCTGCCATTGCTAGACGGGTTTGCACATGCTTTATGTTCTTACTTTATTGCATAATAGAATATTTTAATAAGACTCGTGTGACATAATTTGTAATTGATACATTATTTGACATATCATTAAGCAATATCTGACAGCTGGTGGTGCGATAGAACAATTCGTAGAGTAATGTTTGCCACTTCACCTTATTGCCTCTAGGAGTCGCCAACGGACAAATCAAGGCAAATGTACGTACGCCAGAAATGAAGTTTACTTGGAGGAACGCACATTCTTCCGTTAATTTCACTGTTAGTACATCTGGCCGTGAACGTGAAAGCTGGCGTACGCCGTGTTTTTGTACGTACGCAGTGTTGATACATGAGGCCCCAGATGTAAGCTAAATGCCTTCCGAAACGCATTCGAGACGGATTTGAATCCGATCGCTCAAACCACTTCATGAGGAGGTCTGGGCCGCTTTACAGACGAAACTGGACACAT